GAGAGAGAGAGAGAGAGAGAGAGAGAGAGAGAGAGATGGGGGAAGGGTAAGGTAGAAGTCAGGGGAGGGGGACGCGATCTTTTTCTTGGTTTTCTTTTTTTTACGATTTCTGTCCGTCTGTGTGTGTGTGTGCGTGTGTGTGTGTGTGTGTGAGAGAGAGAGAGAGAGAAAGTGAGAGAGACAGAGGGAGAGAGAGAGAGAGAGAGTTTGCTTCCGTCGGTTGCCTCCACCTTTTTACTCATCTGCCTCCACCTTTTTACTGCATCACCTGTCGCGTTTGTTTTTGCGAGCGAAGCCGCAACAGGTCATCTAGTGGTTCAAATTAAAAATAAAAAAACATGCAAGTTGAATTTGTTGAAACCCGAAAAAAGGTACTCAGTCCGATTATCACTGTCTGCCCTTTCTCAAGGGGGTAGTCATTAACATTAGTGTATTGCGTCGTGCTTGTGGGAATATAACTCGTGATCAGTTCATAAAACGTTGCAACATCTTGGCCGAGAAACGTCATGCGGTTCTTATATATCGTCAAACAGACCTGTCCTGTAAACCGGAGGCATACAGGGAGAAGAGGCCACAACAAACGAGGGGCTGTGACAAAATATATTTCGTGGAGTTGTTGTGGGGAAAAATGATGCTGCCACGCATGCCTGCATCGTGTCTGTCAGGGCACATGTCGAGAGATTAGTGTGGCATTGCTGTGGCCTTGTTTGCCTGGGCAGGCTGGGTCACCTTGTTTGCCTGGGCAGGCCGGGTCACCTTGTTTGCCTGGGCAGCACAGCCGTGCCTGAATCAGAGATTATCAGAGCTTGTTTGTCTGGGCAACCCCAGCAGGGCGAATTGGAAGGCCTTGGTTACCGCACGCTGCGGACGGCCCGGGTCACCTTGTTTCCCTGGGCTGCCCAGCCGTGCAAGGACCGAGGAAGGTACGAGCAAAAAATTAGTAATCCGAAAAATATTAAAATAAGAAAAATGATCAAAAATCTAAATAATCCAAAAGAAAACTAATCAGTTCTGAATCATGCAGCTACTAAGCTTGGTGATAAACCAGGCTAACAGCCGGGCCGCCGGGGTCACCGTGGTTGACCGTGCGGCATGGCCGTGCAAAGACCAAGGAAGGTACCAGCCAAATTTGAGAAAAAGAGGGGAAAATAATCCAAATAATCCGAGAAAAAACTATGTTATGCAGGAAAATAAACTGAACAGTGAACTCTTTACCAAACTCAAAATAAAATAGGATTTTTTATTCTTTTTTTCTTTTTCTTTTTTTTTGGTCCGGCCCAGCAAGTCGTCCCGGGTCACTCTGGTAGCCTAGGTCATAAAGTTGAATTATTGTCTACAAAATGTTTGACAGCAAAAAAAAAAAAAAGCACGATTAGATGTGCGTATCACTCAGCAACATGGCTGGGTACTGCCATGTAACAAGTTGCCTTCTCCTCATTGGGGGACAGCCATATATTTTTCTCTCACCTCACATATGTTACTTCTTTTCTTTGTCTCACCTTTTTGAAGTTTTTTCACTTGTGTGTATGTTTTTCCCATGTGTCATGGTGCCTCTGGCACATACGCTTTTGTCTCATCTCTGCCACCAGGGTACACGACTAGACGGCGGGTCGACATTGCTGTGGCCTCTGTGGTTGCATGCAAGGCAGTCGGGGATACAGACATTTCACATGTTAGTCTACTATGAACCGGCTGTGGAAGCAAACGGAGCCGAGCCAAGCATGAAGTATCGGACGCTTCGCATGATGCATGATATACAGGTGAGGACCTGTAAGATGTCCGAAATTTTAATCCAAGAAGTGTGCAGAAGTCAGCAGAAGTGCTCTTTTTTTCACGAGTCTGTGTGTGTGGTGCATCGCTGTTCTTAGTTGGTGGAGTGATATGTCTTGTTAACAATCCGTTCAATTCCTGTGTTTACCAACCAACCAACAGGTAAGTCTCCAACCCCGTGGCTGGCCTCACGCTACTTCCATCGATAGGATGAGCAAAATCGAATGAATCTTCCGCTAGAATAAACAGAACCCCGCGAACGCGGCAAGCAGCGTAACAGGGCATGCATACACGATTGCCTAAGAAGAAAGACCTCAAGATTTTTGGACAGAACAATCCATACCACAGGAGAAATCAAAGCACCCATAATTGGGTTGAAACGACAGACAGGAAGTCAAGAAGCAGTAAGGCAACAAGACAACAAAGTAGACAACAGACCAAGTAACAGAAAAACACAAAGCAAAAAAAAA